ATCTAGAATAACATTACATAATAGAAAAGTCCAAAACTAGAGTATTTGATAAAATCAAGTCTCCCTATTTATTCTATTCACCAGCTACCACATTCTCCCCAAAGTCATGTACATTTTTAGCTTCTTATGTATCTGTCCATGGAACAGGAAAACAGAGGGAAGAATGTCTTTAGCGTTTTATTTTTTATTTATTTTATTCTAGTGTTTACCTAGAAAAAGTTCACTTCTTTTCTTGTTATAAGTAGTCTAATAAATAGACTACTGGAATTTACTATCTAAGCTATTGATATCATATGGGATAAACATCTGGATCAAAGAACTAGAGAATTTTAGATGCAGGTAGAAATTATAAATGAGAAAACTAAGCCACTAAGCAAACTAAGTAAACTTGTCCAAATTCACACAGTAAATAGCATAGCCAATATTCACATCCATGTTGTCTGATTCCAAAGGCAGTGCTCCTTGCACTATCCCTCAGGAACCTGAGACCTATTGAGAAGGGGCCTATCCAGCTTTGCTTAGTTACATACATTGTGTGATTTCTGGTCCATAAGTATTTCTGTTTGACCATATTCTGTGAGGGAATGACATTTTAAAAATTCCATTCAAATTTTTGAGTTTTTATTGCTTTTTTAAAAAATTCTTAAAAATGTTTATTTTTGAGAGATACAGATAGAGTGTGAATGGAGGAGGGGCAGAGAGAGGGAGACAGAATTTGAAGTGGACTCCAGGCTCTGAGCTGTCAGCACAGAGCCTAACAAGGGGCTCAAACTCATGAACTATGAGATCATGACCTGAGCCAAAGTTGGATGCTCAACCGACTAAGTCACCCTGGCACCCCAAGTTTTTACTGCTTTTGACCAAGACTATGTAGCTAAGAAAGAGAGGGGTTAGTATGTAGTTTCTCTTCTTATCGAAAATCCTTTTCCTCTACAGAAGTGAGACCCATTAAATTACCAAATATTACAAAATATATGACAAAATTATCATATGTATTAAGAGGTATCATAAGTCAATTAACAGCTTAGATTTGAAATCTATTGACTTTTCTCAGCCTCAGTCTCTGTAACTGTTGATGGGAAGATAATAATAATGGTGTTTATGGGGACTTTAACTAAGTAAGAATTTGGGTAAAGCACCAAACATGGTGTCTGGCACTATGTGAGTGAAAAAGAAAAAAGTTATTTGCTTTCATTGTACATTTGATTCTGAGAGTGGATGGAACTCCTAGATACAATTTAAGGTTAGACAACAAAAATAATCAATTTTACAAGTCATTTCACATATAAGTCATGGAATCTATTTCAATTCTGAAAAATGCTGAAAAATAAATTCTTCCAGAAGTTTTTACTAGTTGGACTATTAAATATGACCAAAGAGGGGCACCTAGGTGGCTCAGCCAGTTGAATGTTCATGTAAATGACATATTTTTATTCAACATAATGATATTTTTCTAAACAAAAACAGGTAGTGAAAAAGGTAACATTGTTGTTATTTTTTTTGCAAATCTTTTCAATGCTGGGTTTGGTAGACGGTACCAGATTCTCCTATCTACTTATGTATTCAATCTGTTGTGATATATTGTTTTGATTGAATTATATATAAAAATATCCAGCTTAACACAGTTATATAGTTGGAGAAGGGAGGGGTATTTCAATAGTTGTTTTGGATAATTGGGTTATTCTTTGATACTACATCAAAACTCAACAAGTGGCTGTTTTTTTAGGAGGTAACTGCAATGTAGAATCTGAAGCTGTATCAGCTTTTCTTATTCTTCATACCAATACTTTAAAATCAACTGGTCTATTCTGCATTTTGAGTGGGTCTTTTACTCATGCCTGATCCTGCTACTCAGGCATTGGTTATTTGGAAAATGTTGCTTCACTGAGTTGTACAGATTTTCCAGATGTTGACACATTTCAAAATACAAAATCAACAAATTAAATTAATTTATGTCATACTAGTCTTATCATAAAAGGCTATAGGTATTGGGAAGCTGTCAACCTCACAGTGGAAGATAGGAATTTTCCAAAATTCCAATTTTTTCTTGACAGCTCAAATTTTATTGTCAGCAGCAAATTCTGTCAGTTGTTCTCCTTGAAGTGATGAGCTTACTTTGTTCATTTTTGACAAAATGTCTGGCAAAAGCCCAAGTTTAAATAACTAGTTTGTCAGTCATTCTTCTTTTGGTTAAAACTATTTTTTAGAGTTCTCTTAGGTTCACAGCAAAATTGAGTAGAAGTTATAGAGATTTCCCACACACTTCCTACTGGCTTCTTTTTGTTTGTTTTTTCATCTTTTTTTTTTTTTTAGTCCATTTCTCTAACACTTCCTTTTATTTTCCTGGAACCAATAATCAAATTAAGATAATGATGCTTAAAAAAATGAGCTTCTATGATAAAATTCTTAACCTTTATCCCTCTAAACCAGTAATCAACTTCTGAATTGAATGGGCCCGTTTATATGTGATGAATCTTTTTTCATGCTTTTTAAAGGCAAAGAATGATTCATTTTTAAAAATTAAAATCATTAAAAGAAGACTAATTATGTAAATACCTAGCATCCAAATTCACACCAAATTTACACCAAAAGTTGCATACTTTTTTAGTATGCAAACTAAACTATTATCAAACCTTTTTAATTTGTCTTCACAGAGCTAGGGTAATTAGTTTACATGAGTTTATATAAGATATGTGAACATGAGTGGCAAAATACCAACCATGAGCTTGGTAGGGGTAAATGGAGTTAAATTCAGTTTCTCCTGAGTATTGACCTAAAGAAGAAAATTACTGCCTCAGGATATAATTATATTAGAAGAGTTTTTTTAAAAGGATCAGGCCAATAAAGATGATTACTTTTGTGTACCCCAAAGGAAAGTAAATTTCTCTCTATATTGGAGACAAAGGGAGTAAATGCAGAGAGAAATATATTGCACCTTATGGATATTATAATATTAAAAATAGGTGAGATTTAAAAAATAACTGAAATTTGTACTATTTCTAAAGCTGAATATTGGAATTTGAATTTAGTCAAATTATTCTACTCTTTGGAAGTAAGATTTTCCATACCAGTGGTTACTTGCCAACTTAGGGTGAGTGGGGGAGAGAGAGAGAAAAAAGGGTATGAGAAACTTTCGGGATTGAAGAACACGTTTACTATCTTGATCATAGTGGTTTCATGGCTTTCAATATGTCAAAACTTATCATATTGTAGTCTTTAAATATGTGCAGTTTATCACATGTCATTCACTTATTAAATCTCACTTTAAAATTTTTTTAATTTTTTTTTTTTTTTGAGAGAGAGAGATCAAATGGGGGATGGGAGAAAGAATCTGGGGAGAGACACAGAATCTGAAGCAGGATCTAGGAGACACAGAATCTGAAGCAGGATCTAGGCTTTGAGTTGTCACCACAGAGCCTGATGTGGGGCTCGAACTGACCTGAGCTGAAGTCAGATGCTTAACTGACTGAGCCACCCAGCCACCCCAAATCTCACTTTAAAATATGGCCACTCTTCCCCCCACTCCTCAAATGTATCCAAATCTGTTAAATTATGGATTCTGTAATTCTTCATACTGACGTGTGAGTCAAGATTCCTATAAAATGGGGTCCATAATTTTAGAATGAAGATAGCCTATCAATTCCTCACTTCACACGGATTATAAACAAAAGCATTTCAAAGAAACATTGATAACAATACGTATTTCTTAAGAATTGTGAACCAAATGTTAATGACAACATAAAATTAGGAAGAAATTGCTCTCAGATGAATGGAATATATTTTATCCTTAAAAGGCAATGATGAGGTTCATCTAATGCAAGCTAATAGAGAGTATAATCGTAGATGAAATAAGTCAGAAAAAGACAAATATGATTTCACTTGTGTGGAATTTAGGAAACAAACAAACAAACAAAAACAAGCAAAGGAAAAGAAAAGAGAGAGAGAGAAACCAAGAACCAGACTATTAACTATAGAGAATACACTGATGCTAACCAGGGAAGAGAGGGATAGGGAGATGGCTGAACGAGGTGAAGGGGATTAAAGAGTGCACTTGTATGATGATCACTGGGAGGTGTATGGAATTATCGAATCACTATATTGTACACCTGAAACTACTATAGCTCTATATGTTAACTATACTGGAGTTGAAATAAAATCTTAATTAAAAAATTCAAAAATGATCACATAAAAATTTGTAATAAAAATTTAAGAGAAATTCTATATAATTTACTACAAATAATGAAAATTCAATTGAACAAGCTCCACACTTCCTTTTGAGTTTTTAGTATTTCATATTTATTTTTTATTTTTTCTTGCAAATTTTTATTTAAAATCTAGTTAGTATATAGTGTAATATTGTTTCAGGAGTAGAATTTAGTGAATCATCACTTACTTATAACACCCAGTGCTCAACACAAATGTCCTCCTTAATACCCATCACCCATTAGTATTTCATATTTAATGCTAGCATTGATATGATAGAATTGACATAGGCCATTTTAAAAAATGCATATTAAACAGATGTTTATCTCCTTAGCTTCTAAAAATACATTAAACTGTGACTATCAATTAGCAATATCTTTATTATACTATTATAAGTAATATTTCCAGTATTATATATAGTACTATTACTATAAAACAATTACTAATATAATACATAAATCTCTTATAGTGTAATGGTAACATATACTACAGAGCTCTACACAAATTGATTTGATATTTTAAGACAAATTCAAGTAAATTTAGAGCTGCTACTCAAAAACATCAAACTAATAGTATCCGGGAAATTATAGGCAATGACATAATTAAAGATATGGGTGATCTCTTTGCTTATGAGAAAGTCATAGTTATTTCTAATGGTATTATATAGTTAAATGTCAATGCAATGTTTAGATATAAAAGTAAATTAAGATAGGAGAATATGTTTGAATTTAAAAATCCAACATATCCTTTTGTTTTTGGCTTAGAGGGGCTAACTGGTATGAAACTTTGGCACTTACTTTCCAATTGTATTGGGTAGCATTGTAAGTTGATTGTCATCTACTTTTAGAGTAGTTAGTTTTTTCAAAAGACCTAAAACAGAGAAGAAGTTTTATTAATACATAAGAACAGATCTCTGACAGAAAAAACAATATGAAAGAAAAAGAATCACTTGTGATGAATATATGTCACCAATAGGCAGTGCTCTGCTAATATAAACCTGCAAGTAAACCTACAAATTTGAATGTACTCTAGTTTTGACTGTCCATCTGTAAAAACTTTACCTACATCAATTGGAGTTCAAGTACATCAATGCAAACAAATAAACAAAATGTAGAGCTCCATAGAAACCCAAGTTGACAGCAATACTACCATATTTCCCTTATCTAGTATGCTGCAAATGGACCAGATGAAAAATTTTAAGCCAGCTGTGATTTAATATTTAATTAACTCGTACACACTAATAACTAACATTCTTGTCTGATACAAATTAAAAACAAATCTCAATTAAGCCTGATGATCAACAAATGGGTACTGAGGTATTGCGATGCAGTGGCTTTAATTATGGACTTGGAAATTTACAACATATGGCCTCATACTCTTTTTGTTACCATAAATCCTTGAACTTGGATCAGCAGAAAGCACACAAACTTGCAACTTTAATATACCAAGTAGAACTGGCCAAGAATTGAAGTTTCAACTATTTATATTTCACTGTCAGATTTATGCCTTCCATACCCTTACTGCCTACTCTATTCCCAGGGTTCTAATGAGTAATAGCCACAGAGTAATTGAAGAACAGATTCCTTTACCTAGCCATAATTTAATCTTTAGTATCAATATGGCTTAAATAGCCAAAGTCCAAGGGCAAAGCATGGTTACTTTTTGTTTTACATTGGAAATATGCATATAAGTTGTAGGCTAGTTGTTTTGCAGAAAATTTGTTTTGATGGATACACTAAGTTCCATGGTCAAACATGCTTGGGAAATGCTAAATTAAATAACATTAAACATATTTCTTTAATGAAGTTTCCTAGGAGCTTTTAATATATTAATGTAGCAATGTGACTCTCGAAAATTATTGCAGAATGCATGTGAGTGTGCAGGGTGTCTTGTTCAGCTAGTGTTTTATGAATGTTCTTCGAGACGTATCGCTGTAAATCATTCCAACCCACCTCAAGTATTCTGAGGATTCCTTAAAGACATGAAGTCAGAATATATCTGAAATAAAAACTAATTACTGCACTTAAAATTTCAGTATGTTCAGTTACATATTCTGTAGAAGCACTCAATCTCTAGTGGAGAGAAAGGTTCTCACTGTCAGACTGCTGTGAGAAAATATCTACAAAATATTGAAGCTTAATACATCAGCTTGTGCCCCCAGGATACACTGCTGAAGACCTCTACACCCGGGAAAGAGGACAGTTCTCACTGGGGTAAGATTCACCGGGGATTTATCTCTGAAGTTTGCACACCCACTGCCATATTCATCTATGTTTAAAGGGTGACTGAAACACTGCAGTTTCTCCAGTGTGTAAAAAATGTCAACCTTGGAAATACAAAAGAACTCCTAAGCTTGTTCATCAATTGTGAAAAGAAAACAGGGTACAATGAATTACAGATAAATTTTGTATGACTTGGTAGCCCTGATCAATGACTGCATGTGCCCACCAGGGGAGCTAGAGGGGGGTTGACAGTCTTCCCATCACTTGACTGGGTTGTAAGAAGATTTGGGCTGAGTCACAGATGGCTGTGCATACACCATGAAGCCAGGTTGCAAGGTAATGTTTAAGAGAATGACAGTACTTAAGTCTAAAAGTAGTGGTGAAAAAATCTTTTGGTATGTTAGGGACTAAAATCAAAAGGTTGATGCAACAGAGTTTCTCGAAGAATGGAGTAGTGGTTCTGACAGCTGACAGAAGCTACTGTAGCTTTAAAGGTGGAAGCAAGTTAGGTCTCTGTGCTCTAGTTCCATGTCTGTGGGTTTAAAGGAACCTCACTCATTTGTGATGTGGCAGCTTTGTCACTCACATTCTATCTGAGGAGATGCTCTTTGGATAGATTCTGGAGCTTCTGTAGGAATATGGTTGTCTGTAGAGCAGAAATAGAGCATCAACCTCACCTTCATTGCTCATGACTTCCACAGGCAGATAATTCCTTTACTGGATTTTTATATCATATCTGCTTGGACTTTCTTCTTCTACTTTACAGGAATCAAAGGTATTCTATCTTGTTCCTTCCCTCTCTTTGGGTCCTTCCCTAATTCCCCACCTCTTTATCCTATACTCCCAACTAAGAAGTATTGAAGAGAAAAAAAATAGGCCTTTTACTATCATTTTAGCTGTTTATATATAAATATATAATAAGCAGCAATGTTTGAAACATTAACGTATTTTGTTATCAATATAGCTAATATTTACGTGACATGTAATAAAACTTTGAAAAATAAAATAGCTGTGTACTTATAAAATCTGAGATTATAATAATTATTATATTATTATAATAGCTAACACAAGTACTTACAATGTGCCAGTTATTGTCCTAAGCAATTTTATATATATGAATTCACTTATTGCTGAAAATAATCCCATGATGCATCCCATGATGCTCCACTTAATAGATGAAGAAACTGAGCACAGAGAGATTAAATAGCTGGTCTAATGTCACAAAGCTAGTGAGGTAGAAAAGCCAGAATTTGAACTCAGGTAACTAGACTACAAAGTCTGTCCTTAACCACCAAGTGAAGAAGATAAATTATTTTGGAAAGTAAAAAAAAAAAAAATAATTAAAGTTCTCTCTAGAAAAGCAAAAAAGACACCCTTCATCTTCCCTGGAACCAGATAAAGAAAGGGACTCAGCACGCAGGGTTGGTTGAGTAAATCACTCCATTCAAATACCTCATACCTGTAGAAGAACTAAAATAGATGTGAAGGAAGTAAAGACTTTAATTTTAGTTGCTGTTTTCCTTTGTCAATACTATGGAATTTCTTATCTTTTGTTCTTTTAAAAGTTGGTAGTACAATAATGTCCAAATAAAGAAGACAAGATTCAATTTCCCATCCAATTAGAATCAATGAATTCTTTTAGGGCTTTCGGACACAGTTCTCTGTCTCCTATCTCAGATACTTTTTTTGATCAAGAAGGGGATTTTTGGAGGAAGGTCAGCTATTCTACATGTATAATCAGAGACTCTGGCAACTTTGCAGATGCATAACTGTAATTTTCTCTGAAAGGTCAATAGGGTCCAAAGATCTTGTCTAAGAAGTAAGTTACTATAAGAAAGTTACTCTCCTAAGTTGAGGGCCATTAAGATTCTTAAAGGTGTTAAAATATATAGTAAAATGTCTATCCTACTCTGCTTTATGCTAGCCAAGTAGCTAATCTGATATTTTTTTAATCACCTTTAATCTGTCTTCCCTAGAGCAGGAGGCTAATTTCCTAGTCTGCTTTCTTAAAGGAAGATATTTTAAACAAATAATTATAACATCTTTTATTTTACTATGTGTCATTTTTATTTCCAGGGTTTCTAATTTTTTTAAAACCACCTATTCTTAGTCAGAATTATTACTTTTTAATTGATTCTTAATTTTTTAATGAATGTTATTCTAATTTTTGTCTATTTGATGATCTACACATACTTAAAAATCATTCTTTACATTGCTTGGTGACTCTGGTTTCTCCTGGTTAAATTTTCCTATTTGTTTGAGATTTTGGTTGTAGTTACATTAGTTTCCCTCTAAAATGTTCATGCTCATTTGTGAAGGTGAATGTTTTCTCTTTACCTATGTTTACCTCTCCCTGCCTGATAGTTTTGTGGTTACTTACCCCTAATTCCTAAGTTTCTGAAGTGGGAGTATAAGGCATGTATCATGCCTAGGTGGTTATCTTGACCAGATGATTATCTATGTCATCTTAATTCAAAGATGCTTCTTTAAAACCATTACACTTCCTCAGTTTCTACAACATAATAGAGTATTTTCCAAACTTATTTGATTATAAGTTTCATCTAGGATGTTTAATAAAAACAAATTAGAAGGCGGATCACAAACTTACAGAATCAGAATTTTCAGAGAAAAAGCCTGGAAATGTGTAAGTGTTTAATAAAGCTCTCAGTTAGGTCATACAATGGGATGAGTTGGAAAAACACTGTTATAAAGTATGTGATTATATAAATCAAAAAGTTATCAAATCAAGAAAGAAAGAAAGAAAGAAAGAAAGAAAGAAAGAAAGAAAGAAAACCTAGCCTTTTTTTTTTCCAAAACTAGTATTCTCTATTAGCCTGAAAGAATTTGAAAATGGAAGTAATCAAATAGTGAAGGAAAATTTGGAAAAACTGCCTTATCTTCTAGCTTCCTTCTAATTAGAGTACCTAGGTTGTAACTTAATTTTCAGAAGCTTTAATAAATTCAAGAATATATGACAGATTGGATTCAAAGAGTGTAAAAAACTCTTTTAATATCTAAAGTTAAGTAATTTGCTGATTATCTTCCTAAATCCTCTTATAAATAATAGTAAGATATCTATACAAAACAGTTTACTCATTAGTAAATTAGATTCTTTAGTTACCTTACTCATATAAAAATTTGTAACAAAAATGGATTGGGTGTTTGGTAAATACTAATGGACAAATTCTCTGCTGTCATGAATCTTAACAGCATATAAAAGAAAATGCATCTTTTTTAAATAATAAAACTACAAAGAGCTTTTATACTTACTATACCTTTATATAATTTTCAGATTATAGCAGTGTTATAATAGTATTGAAACTAGAATATAGCAACACTCTGTGGATAGAAGCTACTGTAATTCTATGGTGATAAAAGGAGATAAACACGGTTATCAATTACTCTAAATCTAAGAAATATACTTTTTATAATAACATTTTACAAATTAAAATATTTGAATTGAAAATACATATCAATTTGGTAGGATCATTTTAATAGTAGAGCCTTCTTAAATTTTATAATTATTTACGATTTCATTTTAAGATATTGGTAAAATAGAATTTTATCCTCTCGAATAATAAACTTTGTAATTTTTTATTATCAGTCAGGCTAACAGAATATTCCCTATATCTACTGATAAACTATGACTATGCCACAAAAGAAAATTTCATATATTTCATATAAACATTCATGACACAATAGAATATTCTCACCTATAGAGTCAGGCAACTGTTGCAACATATTGGATGATAGTAAGAGGTCTTCAAGAGCTTCACATCCAGAAATTTCCATGTCAACCGTTTCTATTCTATTTTTTGACATATCCAGGTATACCAACATCTTTAACTTCCCTATAGACTTGATAACATTGCATAAACTCAGAGTTAGTTGAGAAACTTTCACAAGACAGTTGAAAGTTGTAAAAACCACAATACTGTAAAACTAATTTTAAAAGCAACTACAACAATAATACATGTTGGCAAGTATGCCGAGAAATTATAAGCCTTGTACATTGCTAGCAGGAATTTAAAATTGTGCCGCCACTTCGAAAAACAGTTGGGCAGTACCTCAAAAGGTTATGCATAGTTTCCATATGACCCAGCAATCCCTAGGTTTATGCTCCAGAATGCAATACATGTCCACACAAAAACACAAACCTTAAAACAGTATTATTCGCAAGAGCCCAAAGATGCAAACAACCCAAATGCCTATCAACTGATGAATGGGTAAACATGTGGTATATCCATATGTTGTAATATTATTTTGCAATAAATGCAAGTATATGTTACAAAATAGATGAACCATGAAAACATATGCAGTAAAAAAATGCCAGTAATAAAAAACCAAGTGTTGCATGATTTTAATTATATGAAATGTCCAGACTAGGCAAATCTATAGACACTGAGAGTAGATTAGGGTTTCTAGAGGGTGGGGTTAGGGGACATGAGAATGATTGCTAATGGCTTCAGGGTTTCTTTTAGAGATAATGCAAATGTTCTAAAATTAGATTGTGGTGATAGCTACCCAACTATGTGAGTATTCTAAAAGCCACTGAATTATATATTTTAAATGGGTGAATTTTATGGTATGTGCATTTTATGGTATGTGCATTATATATCAGGACAACAGTTAAAATACAACAATATCAAAGTTGCTACTGAATTAAATAATTTAATAATAAATAAATAAATAACAATTGTCACCCAAACAGCATATGTTGACATGTTGATTCTTATACTTTCAGATACATAATAAACGGTTTATATCCTACTTAACAGATTCATTATTTTGTTCATTCAACAGTTCTGAGAATATACTATGTATTAGGGCTTGTGTTATACATAGGAGACCAACCATGAATAAGTCAATTAAGTATGAGGAGAGACTTGTCATGATACAGACAAAATCTGTATCCTTATTGAGCTCACAGTAAAGAAACTGTCAAACAAATAATTATAATACCCTATAATATATGAAGTTAAAAAAAATACATGTAGAGAATGCCATAGAAGCACAGGGCTGCGAATCATCTGGAAGACACAGCTTGTTAAGAAAAGGAGAACCTGCACCTAGAAGAGAAAATGACGTGTACTATTCATAGTGAAATGTGAAAAGTCATGGCATGTTTGAGCAAGACAGGCAAATTTGATTTATAGGATTATAAGTAGACAGGTGTTAAAAGGCCTTACATATTATAGGGGAGTTGTAAATTCTACCCTATATGGAAGGAAAGCTATTCAAGAGGTGTTTTGTTTTGTTTTGTTTTGTTTTATTGAAAGAGAAACAGAACTTAACATGTGTGCCAAGCGCGCCTGTGAGCACGGTGTAAGTAGGGGAGGGGCAGAGAGAGAGAGAGGGGAGAGAGAGAGAATCCCCAGCAGGATCTGTTCTGTCAGCACAGAGCCCAACAAGTAGGACAACCCCAGGAACCATGAGATCATGACCTGAGCCAAAATCAAAAGTTGGATGCTTTACCGATTGAGCCACCCGGGTTTTTAAGATAGAGAATGACATAATCAGATTTGTGCTTTAAAAAACCAACTTCAGGGAACTGCAAAGAATCAAAAGATTCTTTGATGTGAGTTGCAGAGACCTATCACAAGGATCTGGATATAGTTTTTTTTTTTTTTTAAATTCATTTTGAGAGAGAGAGAGATAGCATGCAAGCAGGAGAGAGGTAGAGAGGGAGAGAGAATCCCAAACAGACTCTGCACTGTCAGCACAGAGCCAGATCATGACCTGAACCAAAGGCGGACACTTAACTGACTGAGCAGCCCAGTTTAGCTGAGGAGATAAGGATTTGAATTAAGGAGGCAGAAGTGAGGAAGAAGAAGGAATGGGCTCAAGAAAAATTTCAGAAGTGGAATAATTAAACTAGTAACTAATTGCTGAGAACAGGAAAGGAAAAAAGTCATACTGTGAACAGGAGTAACAGGGACTGCTTAGCCTGGACATGGAACACAGGAGTCAGGGCAAGATAAAAGTCTTCATTTTCATTTTCTTTCAGGGCAAATTTTGCAAATAAATGCCCTACACATAACTGTGTTCAGTAGGTCACCCATCAGTTTAATCCACCTGTGTACATTTTAATATACTGTCTCTACTTATTTGACAGAATATAAATTAATAAATAAATAAATTTATTACACACACAAGCACACACTTGGCACTGTGCTAAATACTTCAGATATATTATTTGATTTAATACTTCATATCTTTGCTTCTCAAAATGTGTTTTGCAGACCAGCAGCATTGGTACCACCTGCAAGCCTGTCAGGAACATAGAATCTTAGAAATCAGACTCACTCTGGACCTACTGAATCAGAATTTGCACTTTAATGCACATTGAAGTTTAGTGATCAATGTCACACACTGGGTTCCTGGGAAGCAGAGACAGAGAGGAGTTTCTGAGAGCATATTCTTAGGATCAATACCAGTGGGAAGAGAGAGAGGAGAAAGGAAGCATGACTAGGCAGATGAGGAAGCTGATCTGGAATGAAGTCTTGAGGAACTGCTCACCTGGCCCTTCAAGAGTCCCTAATTTGGACTGCTTTGCAGTAGCGGGAGTCTCCATAAGGGTGAGGAGCCAGGCCTTTATCATTGGTCATTGTGTGGAGTCTCCCAGGCTAGGGATGTGACCCTGGGTAAGAAGGTTCTCTTCAGCTAGAGCAAATCCTGAAGAGGGTGGAAAGCTGCAAACAGCATTCCCAGAAGCTTCAGGAATAAAGTAAGCTCTTCATTCCAGGAGGATGATTCATGACAGCAATTACTACATGTAATATTCCAAGGTTACCCCATTAACTAGGGGTGGAGCTAAAATTCAAACTCACTTTTCTCAGATTACAGACCACGTGGCCTGTTGATTATATCAGCAGTCACTGACCTCTAACCAGCTAATTAACCCAGCACATATCTCTAGGTCTGTGACCTCATGCCCCATGGAGGCACAGAATGTGCATGGTCTCGGAGTGCACGAATAGTTGCTAGGCTGGGAACTGAGTACTGGGTGAGTGAGGCCACGGGACTGAATTCTCCCTATACCTGGAAATATGTCACTTGGAAAAATACTGTCACTTTACTTATAGATTACCATCCTAAGGAGCTGTTACCATAGTTTGTTCTTCTCTTCTGGTGAGCAAGGAAAGAATGATATATGTGTTTGTGTGTGTGTGAGCCTGTGCGTGTGTGTGTGTGTGTGTGTGTGTGTGTGTGTGTGTGTCTGGGTTTCTTTTTTGTTCCTTCATCATGAGAAAATTTATTTACTCTTTGTAGCCCCCTTCATTGTTATCTCCAGTGCAACTCAATATTTTGGTGTGAAGCTTCTAAACATCATTTTTAGAAGCAAACTAACACTTTGGTGTTTATTTTTGAGTCTTTCTAAAACTTCACTTTCAAACACCTTATAAAAGCAATAGTAGCCTGCAGTGATAAAGGCCTTTGAAGTCTAATGTCTCAGAATCCTTGGGGATATTGAATGTTGCTCCAACATCTCTCAATACACAGGGCTCTGTAAGTGAGCAGTAGATAGCAAATGAAAAGAGGAGAAGCCATCACAAACAAAAGAAGATATTGGAGTTTGTTTAAAAATACTGATTCAATAAATTGTTTAATCTCATTTTGGTTGATTGATCTTCGAGTGACAGTCAACAAGACAGCTATGTAGAAGACTAACTTTTGATCATTATCTACTTGCTTCTCTATTTATGAAAAAAGAGAGCAGTAAAATGATAGCTCAGGCTTTCAAAGTATTTTAAAAGTATGTTACTTTAATATATAATGATACATGAACTAACAGTAAGATGATGTTGCTTTTTTTCCCTGGGTCTCATAACACTAAACATTTAGGATTAATCATTCTGTGAAACTGATTGCCACGGGCTAGCTTATGGCTACATTCAAGATTAATCTCCCAAAGACATGCATTTCTAGGTCCTTGCATAACAACTATTTGCCAGCACAAACATTCAGAAAGCCATGCCTCTTTATGGCAGCGAAGTGGGGGTATTCCCACAAGGAATATAACAAAATATGAAAACTCAAGTGTACTAACTAAAGTGAGAAAACTACTGAAAGCAGGGTATAAGAAAAATCTACTCATGCGACACTTATCTGTTATCTGTTCATAAGACATTTTCATCGCTACTTTTCCATTTAGATAATAAGCTTACTAAACAATATAGGTCTGAGTTGATTTTTAAGGTTGGATTTTGGAAATGTAATGACTATGAAAAGTAAGATGAACCTAATTCTCATCTGTGCCTTCTGCTGATTCTCTAGCAGCAGCATTTGGGGGCATGAGAGTGAACAACAGCCCCTGGTGTTGGCTTGAATTACATTTCCACCATTTATTGGCTGCCTGACCTTGGGCCAGTTTCTTATTCTTTCTGTTTCACTTTATCATTGTAACATGGGGATAGTAAGAAACCCTACTTCACAGGATTGTTATGAGGACTCAATAAGTAAATATTTGTACAACTATCATGAGCTAGGCATTATCTAGGGGTTTTTTTGAATTAATAAATATATTGAAGAAGCAGGTATAGATGTTTCTAATTAGACATACATTATGATTCTCAATCCCTGCACAGGGAATTGGTGAGTGTCTTACCTGTGTTGCCCCAGGATTTGTACATACCTTGGCTGTGGCACAAATCAGGCTCTACTACATGTAGTGGAATCTAAATCTGTCTCTCCTGTTATGCGTGAGCTCCTCAAACAAATATATTCAAGGTCATTGAATATATTATTCTTGTAGCGCTAACATTAGCATAGTTTCTGGTTCATAGAGGTGTATTTGTAAATGGTTTCTGAATAAATCAATATATAAAAGATGTGCATTTTTGTTTTGTGTCTGTGATGATAGTATAAATGTATTCTTTTGATAAGAGAAGAAAGTATTTTTTTCCTTAATCTTTTGCCAATTTTTCTCTTTTATGTGGTCTCATGCTTGTTCAAAAGAGGAAAACTTCTTGTTCTTGTTGTTTTTGCAATCATTTTAAGGACTTTTTAATGTCAAGTCAAAAGAAGAATAAAATTGGCTTTGGGAACATACATTGAAATCTCAGTGGCTGAAGTTATTACAAATCCAGCTGCCTTGGCTACTCAGCTCAGTGCAAAGGGCTTGGAGTTGGCTATTACCAAGAGGAACACTGTGGTTGAGGTGTGTGTGTGTGTGTGCGCGTGCGCAAGTGCTTATTTGACTGCATGTGTTATGAGTGGCAAGAGGCAATGTTTTATGAGAAGCCATTCTTTCACTGAATGGAAAAGGCTAAATACTCAAACTCAATGAGTTAACTGATCATCCTTCTCCTTAGGAGATATTACTGAATTGTCTCTGTGTTAGAAAAAATATTAACTCTTGTTTAACTTTCTATTTTCAATACCTTATAATTTGCCATTTACCATTTTCAAAAATTGAAATGGGTTCTACTGGAACTCACACAAACTGGGAGAAAGGTTTTTATTTTGTGGAAGAGCTCTAACAATATGATCAGAAACTATTATCTAGTTACCTATAGGAATAAGTTTGATTTTGCAAAAATAAAACTTGGTATTATATGTAGCATTTTCTTTTTCTGTATATAACAATATAAATTTCTCAGTTTTAAGATTCAGTATGTGGAGAGATGAAAAATATAATCCTAAGAGAACAAGAAAACTTTTTCATACATTTCATGTACCTAGACCACTTACAAAAAAGTATGTGAAATATAATAAATAAATAAACTAGTGAAAAACACTTGATGACTAAACAAATATTTTATTTTGAAAGGCAAACACTGAGATTTACAAATCAAGATTATTATTAATTACAATTTATATATAGCATAGATGATAGACAACATGGCATAATAAAAACTTACATACCCCTGGTAGCACTTGCAATGCATTATTATCCATCCACAACTCCCTTAAATTTTGTATTTGATCCAGAACTTCAGGCTAGAAGAGAGTGGGAAGAAAGACAAAAATTAGTTTTTTCTTAGCACAATATAAGTGTAATTTCTTGAATCTGGAAACTTTATTTGGGAATATGGTGTTAATCCTTTAAGAAGTTCTAAGTTTCACAGATCCCATCAAAACTGGGAGTCCCTGAGGTAGCCAACTTAGAATTGATCTGGAAACAATCAGAACAATAATAAAAATTAAAATCTATTACTCTCTCTGAACACCCTACAATGATTCTTTGTAGCATTTATTACACTCTTATTATCAAGGTGTCTATCTTTTTCACTAGAATATAAGCTTTTAAAGAGCAATGTTTTTTTTTTTTTAATGTTTTATTTATTTCTAGGAGAGAGAGAGGGAGAGAGAGAGAGAGACAGCGTGAGCAGGGGAGGGTCAGAGAGAGAGGGAGTCACAGACTGAAACAGGCTCCAGGCTCCGAGCTGGCAGTCAGCACAGAGCCCGACGCGGGGCTCGAACCCACGAACCGCGAGATCATGACCTAAGAGAAAGTCGGAAAGTCGGACGCTTAACCGACTAAGCCACCCAGGCGCCCCTGAAGAGCAATGTTTTATTTTTTAATAAGTACATCCCCATTGTTTGCCATGGTACTTGGCACACAATAGGTTTTTATCATGAGTATGTATTAGAGTCTTATGCACATCCACCCTCTCCCCCACCCCGCCCCTGCCATTACATTACTGAGATATGATAATAGTACGAAGTAGACCCACTCATTTCTTATCTCTTCATTTACTCAACAAATTATGATTGGTTGGATAGTGGGGATGTCTACTACGTGAAAGGCACAATGCAAGATCCACAGTTATTCAAACTCAGTTACTGTCTTGAAGTAGCTGATGATCTAATTGAGCAGACAAATGTGTATAAATAGCTGAAACAGAAGGTAGCCTATGGGAGAAAAGAATAATGTTGAGAAGTTCAGAGAAAGGAGAGAATATGATCAAGGTGTCACACATAATGCATAATGAAACATTTCTATTCCCTAAATTGAAGCTGTCTCTAAGTTATACCTCATATGGGCAGCAGACTATATTGAGAGGTTAGAGGTTGCTATTGCTACCAGCATCATCTCTTGATTTGTGATTACCTTTTTCTGATTTCTCTCCAGAAATTATCCCATCTAGCACCCTAATGTCACCAGCTTCCCTTGAATTCTTTCTAGGGAAGTGAGGAAGGCCTATGCTAATTAGTGCATTGGATTCACCAGGCCACAGGATTGGCTGGGGGATGGGAACATGATCTATTCAGAGCAGATGAGAAGCAATGTTTCTTACACTGAGACTTCAGGGGAAAAGACTTGCTCTTCCCTGCTGGATCAGAAACTGGAAGGGGACACCCTGGGAGTTTCAGGCGTGAAGGAAAATGGAAGCCTCTCTTAGTTAAAGAGATGGATCCTGATGACATCATAGTATGCTGAAATTAAGCCACACCTGAAATCAGATGTTTTGTCTCTTTCAACTGAAAAAAACAAAAACAAAAACTATCACTGAAACAAAGTACAACCATAGTTCAGTAAATTTTGAGGCCTACTTAGGAAAACTAGTGTATTTTATAGAATAATAGTGGAAAAGTGGAATTGTATCTATGTTATGATGAGAATATTGGTAATTGTGTCAGCAGGAGTTATGTACATGCATCTCTGACACATTAGAAGAGCTTCGGAGACTGGTAGGATTACTTTGGAGAGTCTCTGAAGTGTTTAGCCTGCAATTGCAGTTAAACATGGTACTACTCCTTGGAGAAATTCTATTTATAACAAAGATCAAAATCTAAAGTTAGAGCATGACATTTAGCTATGGACTCAGAGGCATGTGTAAGTGTGGGACATTTTTTTGTGTAGGAAAATATTCCCACTTTTACTAAGATCAATAGGGAACAGGCGGTAAACTACTCAACCTGTATGATAAGCTGGGCAAGGACAGAAAACATAAGTCATAGGAAGCACACTCTGATGTGCAGAGACTTTGAGGCAGAGTGCTGGCTAGGAATAGTCAGGCCCGTTGGAAAACATCAGTCATATGGTGCAGATTTTCCTAAACCCAGGCACCATGCAGACTTTAGGAAAAGAGATAGAGTTGCATACACTATACATCTAAACTTCAATACATCCTATGTATATAAGATGGAGATTAATTTATAAACTGGGAACGATGAACATTACTCAAGATAAACTTGATTGTGCTGTGGTAACAAATTAATCCCCAAATCTCAATGGGTTAACACTACAGGCTTACTTCCCACTCCCACAATTTCTAGTGTCATGGGTTGCTACCATCTCAAGACTTCCAGAAGAGCCCAAGTAGGGAAGACAGTATAGAAAACTAGTTGTTGCTCTTAAATACCTCAGACTAGAAGAAACACATATCACTTATGTTTATAGCTAATTATCTAGACTATTTCTATGGTTTCAACTTAAGTTCAAGAAAGCCTAAGAAATATAAGAGAAATTCATGAAATATTTGGTGAACACTACTATCCCTGCCACATAGTGACACCATATAAAAAAAAGAATGACAAGAATGGATACAAAGTACTTCAATAATTCAGTTACCCCTTCATTCAGTAAGTACTTATTAACCATCACCTAAATTCTAGGCATTATACTAGAGTCATAATGCATGGTGTGGTCTCTGTCCTCAAGAAAGTCATGGTCTATTTCTGCAGCAAACATGCAAAAAACAAATACATGGTATTATGGGAAAATGAAGAAAGGGGAATCTATATGTCCTTATAATGAGGAAGCCACATAAGTAATCATGGAGCTCAGAAGAGAAGGGGTTGGTCAGTAGAGAGGAGAGAAGAGGAAGTACATTTTAGCCAGAAGCAGAGAGATGAGAAATAGCATGACGTATGAATGGCAACAAGCACTTTCCTTTACTGGAGTGTCAAGTTTGAAATATGGTAAGGAGTAGAAAATGAGGCTAACCAAGAGGGTGGGGTCTGTGAATTTCTCATGTTTTGTTAGGGAGATAGAACTTTATTATATGGATGAAGGAACATCACTAACAGATTTTTAATAGGAAATGATGTGGCAGAAGGGTAGAGGCAGATATATATATATATATGGAAAAGGAAAAAACAGGAAATCTTAATAGTGTTAGTTATGAGATAATGAGGACTAAAGAAAAAGAAGTTAGATTCAAAAACAATTTAAACAATGAAAACAATAGGATTTGGTGACTCAATATAGAGGTGAGAATGAGGGTCATGCATTTCCCTCAGCTTTCCAGCACCTGGTAGTTGCCACCAATGGAGATGCAGAATATTGAGGTGGAAACAGATATATGAGAGAGACTGAATTTAGTGTTTTTCTCAAAATATTTATTTAAGTTCAAGTTGGTTAACATATAGTGTAGTATTGATTTCAAGAGTAGAATTTAGTGAGTCATCAGTTACATATAACACCCAATGCTCATCATAACAACTGTCCTCCTTAATTAACCCATTTAGCCCATCCCGACTCACCTTCCATCCAGCAACCCTTAGTTCTCTATAGTTAAGAGTCTCTTACGGTTAGCCTCTCCCTGTTTTTATCTCATTTTATTTTTCATTCCCTTCCCCTGTGTTCATCTGTTTTGTTTCTTAAATTCCACTAATGAGTGAAATCATATGGTATTTGTCTCTAACTGACTTATTTCACTTAGCATAATGCACTCTAGCTCTGTCTACTTCATTGCAAATGGCAAAATTTCATTACTTTTGATGGCTGAGTAATATATATATATACCACATCTTTATCAGTTGATGGACATTGATTTTTTTTCTATACTTTGGCTACTGGTGATAGTGCTGCTATAAATAATGGGGTGCGTGTGCCCCCTTTGAATTAGCATTTTTTGTGTCCTTTGGATAAATACCTAGTAGTGCAATTGCTGGGTCATAGGGTAGGTCTATTTTTAACTTTTTGAGGAACTGCCATACTGTATTCCAGAGTGGCTGAACCAGTTTGCTTTCCCACCAACATTATAACAGGATTTCCCTTTCTCTGCAAACATGTAAACATCTATTGTTTCCTGAGTTGTTAATTGTAGCCATTCTGACAGGTGTGAGGTCATATCTCATTGTAGTTTTGATTTGTATTTCCCTGATGATGAGTGATGTTGAGCATTTTTATGGGCCCGTTAGCCATTTGTATGTCTTCTTTGAAGAAATGTCTGCTTATGCCTTCTGCCCATTTCTTAACTGGATTATTTATTTCACGGGTATTGAATTTGATAAGTATTTTTTAAATTTTGGATTCTAGCCCTTTATCTGATACGTCATTTGCAAATATCTTCTCCCATTCTGTAGGTTGCCTTTTAGTTTTGTTGATTGGTTCCTTCACTGTGCAGAAGCTTTTTATCTCAATGAGGTCCCAATAGTTCATTTTTGCTTTTGTTTCCCTTGCTTTTGGAAACATGTCTAGTAAGAAGTTGCTGTGGCTGAGGTCAAAGACGTTGCTGCCTGTGTTCTCCTCTAGGATTTTGATGGTTTCCTGTCTGACATTTAGGTCATGCATCCATTTTGTCTTTACTTTTGTGCATGGTGTAGGAACATGGTCCAGGTTTATTCTTCTGAATGTAACTGTCCCGTTTCCCCAATACCATGTGTTAAAGACACTTACTTTATTTTCCAATGGATATATTTTCCTGCTTTGTTGAAGATTAGTTGACCATTTGTGGGTCGATTTCTGGGTTCTCTATTCTGCTCCATTGATCTATGTGTCTGTTTTTGTGCCAATACCATACTATCTTGATTATTACAGCTTTGTAATACAGCTTGAAGTCCAGAATTATGATGCTTCCACTTTGCTTTGCTTTTTCAACATTACTTTGGGTGTTTCGGGTCTTTTTTGGTTCCATACAAGTTTTAGAATTGTTGACTCTACTTCTGTAAAAACTGCTGATTTTGATAGGGATTGCACAGAATGTGCAGATTGCTTTGGGTAGTATAGGCATTTTAACAATATTTTCTCTTCCAATCCATGAGCATGA